TTAAAAATAAAGGATCCATTTATCTTTATTTTTTAAGAGTAAAGGATTCATTTATCTTTATCCTTTATTATAAAGAATAGTAAAGATAAAGGGTCACCCCTATTAAGTAAATAAATCATATCATGTAAACATTGCTAGTCATGGACAGAAGTTTTTATTGCAATTAAACATGGTTCATACCTAAATTGTCATATTGCTTCATTTTGCTTGGGATTTTAATAAAAGACTAGTTTTTTTTGTTTTTTAAGTTGAAATTCATAGAAGAAAATCAAAATTAGTGAAGTAAACGCTTTATAAGTGTGTTTGTATTTCATCAGTTATATCACCGTTAATTTAAGGCGTACAGTTCTTCTTTTTATACCATGAAAACGAGAGCTCATTTCAGAACTTATTCATGTAAACAGAAAACATTTAGCTACTCTAACAACGTAGTTAGCGATATAACATGATATGTCTCAAAGGTTCATTTCATCTAGAATGTTGACAAAGTGAACGTTTGGCGTGAAATATTAAACATGAAAACATCCACAGTTGTTGTTGCATATTTGTAATTAAAATACTACAAGATGTTTATATTTCATTATAATGGCAACTATATGCTTTGACTAATGCCTTTTATAATTATTCCACGTAACAATACTGTAACGACAAACTGAATGGAGTAGTTTACAACCGTCGTTAATGATGTTTATTAAGCTACTTCACATACAACACACGCTTATATAGAAGAGAGAAAGATAAACACGGACAGAACAATAGAGACAGATGAATACAGGAAATAGGGAAGGAAGGTCAGTTGGGGGTGATATCAATATCGGCGCAAACAAAATTCTCTAGAAGTAGCAATAAATTTTTGTAAACGGCTAATTATAAAAAGTATTTCAATTCGCTTCTTACATTAATTAGTTTATTTTTGTTTTGTTCTTATTGTGATACCAACTCATTTACAATAGTATCTAAATTAAAATCAAAATCACGTTCAATATAAACTAAATATAAACTAGATACTACCTTTAGATCTGCTGGAGTGTGAATGTGGTTGGATCAGAGATGTTCAGGGCGTTGATAGCACGGTGACCTTGTCTCTTTTATGACTGCAGCATGGCAGAGGCAGGTTTGCAGTCTCATTTAGTTGTCTATGGGTTGGATGAGTGCAGAAAAGATTAGCATCTCCGCCCTCAAGCTGATGTTTCTGAGTTTGCGTCATTAGTTTCACGTATTGTAATTCTTTCATTTAGGTTAAGCAAAATTGTATTATTATATGTATTATATTTTCTTTGCGAAAGAGTGTCATAGTTTTTTCTGTGAAATAATAAGAAACTTTACTTGTTTCAGACATTTATTCAAGTCAAACAAACTGACCAGAAGATCTTGTACGCTTTTTACAAAATCATATCAAAACTTACTGTATGTTGTTGTATGAGCATATAAATTTGTATGAAAATCGTATAAGACCTTGTACGATTTCATAGGTCAATTCTACCGCAAACATTTGTGATGAAACCGTATAGTAAAGTTCTTATATGATCTTATTGTAAAATCTTCTAGGACCTTTAATAGTCATTTAAGCTTTTCTGGATACTTCAAATGTATTTTAGAGTTGAATTTTTTGCTCTATTTCTCTCTTTCGAATAAAACAAATTTTTAGCGCTGTCTACAAGTCATTTCATATTGATCAACAGAATATGGAGATATCAGAGAAGAGATAACTTCTTATTGCATTCTCGAAGATTTTTTTACGAGAATCAATTGCATCCTATTGCGTCTCTGGTGCAATGCCTATAGTATTAGTAAGATGCTGGCAATGCAAACTTCGAGTAAAAAGGTATTTTTTGCCTTTTCTTACATCATTTGATAGACCGTAAGCTGCTAATCACGGAAAACTACTTTTTAGCGTTAGTAAGTGTATTTTGCCGGTCGAAAAATATGAAAATCTCGACTTTATATTTTGCTTTATGCCTTTTTCTGAGCTTCTGAGAAGATTTTTCTCGGATTAAGCATCAAAAACTGAGTTTAAGCGAGTTGTTAAAACCAATCTAAACCCAAAAATATTTTCATGGTGGCGTTCTGAACCACGCCGAGCGCAACGCGCATAAATCTTTTTAGTAAACTTATCTATTTTTTTTTTCGTAAACAATGAAGCCAATTAGTTTATCTCATTTGGTTCATCATACCATCAGTCACAAAGTTACGTATCGTTTTTTTTTCTTTTCTTTGTCAAGAAATAACCTTTTACTCCTACCAAAGCCATTTTAGGCAGTATACAACAATTGTCGAACTCAAATAAGACTCTTAGTCAAAAACTGAATATTCTGAATCAGCATAAAAAACTAAGGTGAATCAGGTATCTTTCAAGTTAGTTTGACAATTTTCATTTTTTCTCAATTCTTCAAGTACTGTCAGAGGATAGAAATTTTTGTATACAGATCAAAAAATGACAGTTGTCAAATGAACTTGAAAGATTCTTTATTTGACTCAGATTTTTGTGCTGATTTAGAATCCATATTCAGTGTTCGACTAAAAGTCTTCTTTGAGTTCAACAACCGCTGAATATCGCTTGAAATGGCTATGTATGAGTACAAATGAGGTTTCTCAACAAAGAAAAGAAAAAGAAACAAAGAGCATACGTAATTTTGTGACTGATAGTATGATGAATAAAATGAGATATACTGTATGGCTTCATTGTTTATGGAAAAAAAATTAGATAGGTTTACAAAAACGACCTATGCGAGTTGCGTTCGGCATGATTCAGAGCGCCATCATGGACAGATTTTAGGATCTAGACTCAGTTTTTGATGCTGAATCCGAAAAAACTCTTCTCGAAAGCTCAGAAAACGCATTAAGCATACTTTTGGAACAGATATGCTTTTTTAAAAAAATGACATTCGTCGAGTGTTTCGTATTTTTCGACCTGAAAAAGCACTCACTAACGCTAAAAAATTGTTTTCCGTGGTTAGCAGCTCCCGCTCTATGAAATAATTTAATAAAGACAAAAAAAACCTTTTTACTCGAAGTTTGAATTGTCTGCATCTTTCTTCATGTCATTATGTTACATGGAAAACAGCAACTTTATTATGCATTTATAACTATTGATTGCAAACAATTGAGAACCAATTAAATCATGTTAGATTCAAAGAAAAAGTAAAAAAATTATCGTTCACATACCATTATCTATAAAATTGATGGTCCAATGTTTTTTTTCTATGATTAATAAGATGATTTTTTTTTCAAGTTAGTATAGAATATTAAACACTTTCCAAATACGAAAATCATCTAACCTAACTTTAATATAATAACTTAATGTAAGTCTTGTTCCGAGTCAACGTTGATTTTCTTCATTGGTTTTTTGTTTAATATGTATTTCAAAGAAATTAAAATGGTTGATCGTCGATACGTAATGTTCAAGAAAAAGTAGTCGTAGTTAGTGAATTCAAGCATTCAAAATATTTATTTTTCAATATTAAATTAGTCTCACCAATATTATTAACAGTCTAGTCGAAGGTATTTTAATGATTGTATTCGATGAGCTAAATGAACAATAAGAAAAGGGAAAAAAGAAAGAAAATGTTCAATCATAATTTGATCAGACTGATGACTTCACATTACTTTTTGGCATATTTTTCACATAAATGTGAGCTGCTATCTCTATGTCAAGTTAAGATTACTCTGGAATCGAAATTAGAGCTCAATTTCACTTTTGGCAGTTTTTTTTTCTGAATCACTGTCATAAACAACATTTGTTCAACGAGAACAGAAGCATACTCATGCCTTAGGGGGCTAGTTGCTCCAACGATTGCACAATCAGCATCTAATATGTCATGTTCTTCTCATACTCATTAGAAAGCTATTGAAAACAAGAAAGACAATAAACCATGGTAATAGCAGGATCTGAATTGACATAAACCCAAAGTGAGTGATAAAAGACTTTACCTCCAAAACAAAACAAAAAAGTCTTAAAAACGAAATTTAATTGCTTTCAAGTGAAGTATAACTTAGAGAGAACTCGCTTAGATAAATTCAATAGCAACATGTTTAAGACTACAGTTCTCAAATCTACGAATAATTCTAACTACGTGATCTCGTTGTATACCATCATGTTTAGCTATAATAAGGCTGCATTCACGCGTGTTAACGAGCGTTAAGCTTCCATTGGTACTAATCTGAACTATCTAAATAAACAGCTAATGGAAAATAGATGATGTGCCCGAACAAGAAACAAGACAACGTATGAACAGAAGAAAATCAGTTATAATAAATGAATACGCATGGGATGATTGCAAATCTATTAATAAATCCATTTGTTTTTCAAATCAGATGTTGGTTCAATTTTAAACCACTAGAAAGTATTTCTAATGAGTTAAACGCTATGATTTGGTGTTCTTTACTAACATGGGCTTAGAAATATTATGTCTCTTTTTGTGCAAGAGTAGTGAAGAACTTTCTGAAAAGCCTGACAAATTATTTTTAATGATGAACCAACAATTTTCATTTACTCTATAAGTCTCTTTTCGAACATACTAAAAATTGTCAGAGTTGTTTGTTTTGTAAAACGGATATTTCTCTAGAAAATATAAGATTGAATTAAGTATTAGCTGTTACTCAAATGAGTTTCCAAACATTTTTTAAAAGTTTCTTTCAACGTAAAACAGCTGTCGATTTTTCACAAAATGAGTATGTGGGAAAAACAAAAATTTCAGTATCTTGACGAAAGACCAAAATCAAATGTCAAATAGTCCATTTAGTAGAGTAGCATCTAATTAATAAACTGATAATTAAAATCGAGCTTTCGACTTTTACTTTCAAATCACAATAGTGAAGATACAAAAATTTTTCTGTCACAAACCATGTTTTTGATTTCTCAAAGATTATTTCATCCTTCTCGAACAAAGCTGTGATAAATTTTGCAGTTCATATTCAAAATCAGCAGAACATCATAGCTTTTGACTTATCGAGAATACTTTCTAGCGAGTTAAATAGTCAACAAATATCTTGTCTAAAAACTTTCCGATTGGTACTTTGATATTATGACAGTCGTTCATTACCGATTAATTAAATAAAGAATAAAAAAATCCGAAAATAAAAGTACTGTTTAGAAGAAGAGCATGTTAATTCATGTGCACAAAATAACTTTTCCATTTTTCCATCATGAAGAAAGCAACTGGAGATCATCCTGCTAACGACATAACTATAAAGAATGTGAAATGAGTGAAATAATCTCGTTCTAAATAATACAATTCTAATTATACATAAAGTTATTCGCAGTGTATATACACCATGATCATAAAAATTAATTTCTTGCATCAGATGGAATTAAAAATGCTTAGTTTATTTGTCAAATGTAAATCATGAATAATTATTTGACCATAACAAAGTGTTACAATTGCATCAGCATGCAGACATTAAATTTTATTTTTCTGAATGATATTATTCGATCTATTAAAAAAGTCTGTATTCTCTCTGTGAAACACAAAATGACATTTTATTATATTATACATAGATTTATAATACAAAAAAAAATAAGCACTATTAAAATTTATTAGTTGCTTCGTCTTTTTTTGTCGTCTTCTTCATCACTTGAATTTGCTTGTCTGTGTCTTAAATTTTTCCGAATATTGGTTTTCTCATGTTGTTGTACAGGTGGTGGTGATGGCGTCGACTCTTTCACTGTTTGGTTCTCTTCCGTATTTGATACTGGAGCATCTGAAGTATTTGTTTCCAATTTTGTTGTTTCTTCATCTTCTTCGTCACTTGATGATGAAGTACTTTCATTTGTTTTATTTGAATTTTGATTACCTGTAGGTTTTTTACCTTTTGTATTGTCTTTACGTTTCAAACTAAAATAAAAGAATAAACAAACAATTTAATAATTAGCATTGAAAATAAACAAACCGTTTTCGTCGTTTTTTAGCAGTTTGAGTTTCGGCTTTTTGCTTATTTGTTTCAACTTTTTTCACCCATTCTGCATTAGCTTCTTTCTAAAAATGAATAACATATCATTCAATGAGTTATCCAAACTTTTCTTTAACGTAGTATAAATTTTTCATGGCAATACTATGCCATAGTTCAACTGCACTTTTGGTTACTCATCTTACGAGATAAGTCATCGATTAATTAATCGTTGCTGCATCGAAACTATGTGGATCCCGTAGACTCTAATGAGCTATGAAAATCCTGAGGAGAGCTCGAGTTTTTAACTTATTATTACGGAAATATTGCATTTTTTACGGTATTGTTTAAGTCAATGCCATAATCCTTCTCAGAAGCACAAGGAAAACTTATTTTCAAATTTCAACGTGCAGCTTTGTCTAGAGATAAATGTTAAGAAGGATAGTTTATTGCGGAAGTTTCAAGTCTTCCGATTTGCTGCTTTCCTGAAATAAGAAAATCAAATCTGCTGATATATATGGGTAGTGTAGTGTCCTACACGGGTACAACTTTTTGTAGTCGAACCCGAACTGGAACTAATCGATATCCGACGGGTACTTTCAGGTCATAGTACAGTATTCAAATTTTTATTTTATATGAAAAAGTATACAATTTAGTTTCTTCTATAAACAAAAACAAAAAAAAATAAAATAAATCAAATGACTCAAGACTCAGTTGGTGTCTTTCGACTCCTAAAATCCAATAGATTTCGCTTAATATACGTTTGCTTGTTGCTATTGATGCTGGTATGAAACACATTATTGAGGAGTAATGTTATAATTGTTGATACATATATGAATGTTTTTTCAATCATGGTAACAATATGTAGATCTTTTTTTCATAATTCATTTTCTTTTCCATGTACTCTTTACTTCGTCGTATAATTCATCATCATCTGTAGATGAGTTTTCATTAACAAACAAATTCTTTTAGTAAACTAATGTCTGATTTCACTTCTTTGACTTTTTCTCAAGTACAATAAATTGCTCAGGTTTTCATTACTATGCTTTTATATAAATTAACAACTTGAGAAAGTAAAAATATTTTGAAAGATCAAGATCTCATTAATTGCTGACTCGGATGTCGAATACCTGACTCAATTGCAGGGCACTAGAGCAGTGTAAACGACAGGCTTTTATCATAGCTGTATCTTGGGATCTGAACAATGAAATGATCTGAAATTTTCACCATAAATTATTCTCATGAAATTCTGTCTATATGCTAATTTTCAAATCGAAATTCACAAATAAGCTTTCTTAGTGTGCCGTACCGAGGCCATACACAGTCGCCTTAAAGAATACCGTAAAAATGCAATATCTCAACGACAAATAACTATGAGTTCAAGTTCTTTTCAGGATATTCATAGCTCATTAGACTTCACAGGAAGCTCATAGTATCAAGTGAAAAGTAATGAATCAGTAGGGAGACTATCCTCTTTTACTAGTCGACTATCTAATGAAATTAAATTATGCGAACAAACCTCTTTAGCTTCACGACTGAGAAATGCTTCTCGAATCATTTGACGTCGACGACATCCACGATAAATATCAAATTCACCTGAACCAGCACCGGCACTAGCCCCTAAATAAATCAAAGAATAAGATACATTTTAAATAAAAAATAAATAAATTTCTTTACCCATGACATTGCGTACGAATTCATGTGGTTGAAAAGCTCGTGGCGGTTTCATATCCTTTGTTTCTGGTATAAATACAGGTTTTTCTACATTTTTCATTAAACGTTCTAGTCGAGCTTTTTGTACTTCAACTGGATTTTTAAAAACATGTTTTTTAAGTAAACGTTCTTCTTCATCTGATGACATTTTCTAATCTAAATAAATTACGGAAAAAAATTCTCTTTTTGTTTTCATTTTCGTGTGTTGTTTTTTTTTTTCTTTTATTCGGATGTTTTATCATCAAAACAACAGACATGCACACAAAAAAAACAAAAACAAAAAAAATTCTTGTAACTTTTTTTAATATTCTTCTTGTTGTGTTTTTATGCATATAATTTCTATTTTAAGCATTTCGTTGATGTGCTGCTTCTCGTGCTTTAAGACGTTCAAGTCGATTAATACGTGCTTGAGATTTATTACCCAAAACACCACCACCCCAATGACGACGTATTTCATCATAACGTTCATTAAAATTAGTTTTAATGGCTTCAACTAATTTCCCTAAACCAGATTTATCTTCAGCATTAACATCAGTTAAAGCTAATGATGAACAAGTTTTTAAATGAACAAGACGACCAAGACGTGCTTTGCCTTTAACAATACAATATGGAACACCCATTTTACGACATAATGTTGGTAAATGTAAAACAAGTTCAATGGGTTCAACATCATGAGCAATGATAACCTAAAGAAAAAATAAATTTGTCATAACAAAAAATTTTCTTTAACGAGCGATTCGAAACTTTTTTTCAGACAAGATATTTAGTCACTTTTGATCCGCTTGAAAGTATTTCCAATGAGTATAAAAAGGTTCATCCTATAACACTGCTCTTTTTTGAGTTACCACCGTTTTTCTGTATTTTTCTGCCACTGACAAGACATATATATTAAAAAAAACGAATTGAGAAACTTTGATCTGAAATTTTGCTTATCGGTAGTTCCCCTATGGCGATTAGAATGGCCTAAAAATTTCAACCCAAATGTTTCCCTTTGAGGTACTATATGTTGCAGACAAGAAATGTTGTGAACTTTTCTTGTGACAGATACCACTTTGAAAGTATCAAGTATCTCAAGAAGAAAACATTCTTTGAAACTGAAATCTTTAGGACATTCTAATGACCGTGATATCTATGTATGAAAGAAACTTCAAAGCTAGATTTTTTTCATATACGCTTTGGATGAAGAGAAAAACGGTCGTAACCAGAGAAAGATAGTGTATGGAGATAAATCTCTTTAGATTTCTGGTCTCACTATGAACTACTTGCGGGCAAAAGAACCACTTTCATCTGTGTGTCACACTTGAAAACTTTGCTTCGTCACCTATCGAATCTTTAATATATCTATTTTCTCAGATACTTCAGGTTTTCGACAAACTCGTATTTTCGAACTTCGATTCGAAAACTCTATGCATAAAGAAAAATCAACTGGACTAGGTTCAATAAAAAAATTCACAAATTTTGAACGAAATTTCTTCGAGAGATGAGGCTTTCAAGAAATAGATTCTTTCCTATAAATAATGTGTACAAGATACATTATTTGAAAGCTTTACATTTCGAAGAGACTTTGTTCAAAATTTCTGAATTTTGTTTTTTATGAAACTTGGTCTATCTGAGTTCTCTATGTGCGTAAATTTTACATTGGAATTCGAAAATAGAATTTTTCCGAAAACTTCGAGCATCTAGAAAACAGACCTATTAAAAATTTGATGCCTGAGTCAAATCTCAATGGGAACTCGAATCTTTTTAGGAATTTTATTAGAACATTATGTATTATCTATAGACAAAGAAAAATTATTGAAATCGGAAGGGTACATCTGAAGAGGTTCCCTAGTAAGCCATAGTTTTTACTCAAGTGGAGCTACACGCATTTTTCAAGAATTGCTTCCAATGTAAAATAGTTGTCGATTTTTCAAAACTGAATATTTAGAAAAACACAAAAAATTGAATTGTCTGGTCGAAAGACAAAGACGAAACTTCAAATAGTACATTTTGTAGGGTAGCGTCTAATCTACAAACTAGCTAATTATTCAAATCAAGATTTTGACGACTATTTTTAAATCGTAATAGTGAAAATATAAAAATTTTTCCGTTTACACTAAGTTTTTGTACTTTTCAAAAATTATTTCATTTCTCTAGACTTTCTCACGAAACAAAAAGTGAAGAAATATCTTGTCTAAAAAAATTTTTCGATCAATCATTATTTCCAATATTTACCAATTGTGCTTTCTTTTTTTCAACTAATGTAGTAACTGCATTCATTCCACTACGAAGACCACTAGGTCGTTTTGTTGGTCGATCTGGTTTACCGGTTTTGGCTTGTTCTTCAGCACGTAATTTTAAACGAAGTTTTTTTTCTTTTTTCGTTTCTGGACGATATTTTTCAAGTAATTTAAATAATTGTGTTGATGTTTGTTTATCAAGTGTTTGTGTAAATTGATTAATTGGTGGTGGAACTTTCAAACGTTTAAGTAAAATACTACGTTGACGTTGAACACGAATGTATTGTGGCCATTTAACAAAACGTGTTAAATCACGTTTAGGTTGAATATCTTATTTAAAATAAATTCAATAAAAATTTTCATTTAAGATATTTTTCATTTACCTTGTCCAATACCAAAATTCTTTGGTCGTTTTTCAAAAAGTGGATTAACAAGTTTTTTTGTTTCAGTTTTAGCCTTAAATGGTGCAGCGGCTATTTTCTTTTTGCCTTTCTTTAATGTTCCACTTGATGAAGATGATTTTGTTGTAGTAGTTGTTGTTTTTTTTGTTGTACTTGTACTACCTTTTACAGGTGACATCTTTATGATTGATGATGATTAGAATATTCAATCTAGAATAAAAAATATTTTATTTTGCACAATTTTAAATACATTTATATATATATTTATGAAACAATAGCAAAAGAAAACTAATATTTATGTTTTATCCATATTATTATTGTTATTGTCATCATCATCATCATCATCATCATCGTCATCATCATCTTCAATATCATCATCTTTGTCTTCTTTTGGTGCACTATAATGTCTAAATTGTGATTTTAATTCATATGTATGTCCCTTAAAAAAAAAAAAGAAAATGTTGATTTTGTTTATTTGCTTTCTTTTCTTTATTGTATTTCTTACCGCACTATTGTAATTACAATATTTTTTAACAAGTTGTTGTAAGAAATTTTTTGGTTGTTGTGTTATTGTTTCAAGTGCTGACATTGAAATATATTGATTTTTTGAAAAAGCATCAAATATACGATTAAGTACGGATTCTTCAGAACTTCGTACACGTTTTCCCATAGCTTTTTTCATTCGTTCACGTTGTTTATTTTCTTCATGATCACGTTTAGGTGCATAAATATTGGTTTTCTTCGTTATCATTTGAGCTTTACGTGCTGGTTCTTGTGATGTTTCAAATTGTTTACGCTTCATTGACATATATTGTTCATTTTCAACTGGACGTACTTCAGCTCGTTGCATAACTTTACCAACAATAGCTATTTGTTCACTCATTGGAGAGTTCGGATTATTTAATGTACGTGTATAAACTGTACGTAGAACACCATCAGATATATTGCTTAAACTGTAATACGAAAAAAAACGAAGGATTATGTACTTTCATATCAACAAACATAATCTGCTATATCTAGACATCGGGAAAAGTAAGAGTTGGAAAATTTCTCTCACTAGAAAATATTTCCAAATAGTCTGCTTGGTTTGCATACAAATTTTACCAATATGTAAGGGATCACTAGAGTAGGTTAACTTTCAAAGAATTGTCGTTTGTCTAAAAAGCGACTTCTTCATATATTCCTACTGCAGGAACTCTGTTTTCGAAAAAAAATTATGTTTGCGAATTTCGACCTGAAAACTTTTATAATTTTATGTACCATGTTTCATCAATTCTGGATATTGTGTTGTCAAAATATAGATTTCTTCGTAGATATATTGAGAAATCTATAACTTAATAATACGATGTTAGAAAACCGATGAAACTTTGTCCGTGACATCTGTAGATTAGAGTTCTGCAATTTATGGATCGGATACGAGTGTGAAAAGCAACGATTTATGGAAACACAAACTTTATTTTTGCACAAAAACAATTAAAAAAAAACTTTAAAATGATTTTTTTGAATCCTGTTTTTCAATATCGATGTCCTGGATCTCACAATTAATTACTCGCTATGTTAAACTATCAGCAGTGTATTACAGTAATGCAACTCATGGATCAGGTGCCCGTACTAGATTTCGGTTGTTCCAGAACAATTTGGATCGAGAATCGAAATGAAATCATGTTTTTGTTATTTGTAGTAGCCAGAACCGCAGCTCCTGTTCCAGGTATGAGCATGAAAAGTTGTACCGATACAGTATTCTGCTACAAGAAAAATCTATTAGAAAGTCGCTATCTCGACCAAATCTGAGCATGAACATAAAACTTTTGGAGGTTACGCTATTCTAGTGATTTTCTACATGTTGACAAAATATGGAGACAAACAAACTTGATCACTTGGCAATTTTCTCTCGTCAGAAGTATAGGATATGAAAAAAAACATGGATACATATCTCTATTGCGATCGATAGTTCTTCTCATGTAAATTATTAATATATGATCTGCCAGATATTGTAATTGTGCTTTTTTAAAAGGAAACTCAAATATAATTTAATCTTATTATTTAGTATAATTCGAAAAACTTGATATTTTAAAATATAATCGACTTTGTCATAATAAATTATTCTTACCAAAATCGATGTTCTCGTGGTGGAAGTTGATCATCTTGTGATTTATTTTTTTCTTTGATTTTTTCCATAATTTGATCATTAAGACAAAAGAAAACATCTTGTGTTCGTCCACTCGCTGCTGCTGCTGTTGATCCTTTACCAGTTGGTGCTGGTCGTTTAACTAAACGTCCAATTTCACCATTAGCTGCTACATCTCCATAGTCATTAAGAATTTGTGATAAATATTTTGGCATTTTTACTAGCCATACTCCACTTGACGAACGTGTTAAATCAACATCAATTGGAACAGATGGATCGTTTGTCGACATCTAGAAAATAAATAAAAACAACATGAAGTGTAAATTCTAGGCATTGTCAGCAAATGTTCTGTTTTGATAAGCAATCGAAGATATATCGTGTAAGGTTATTGATAACTTAACGAAAAGTACAAAAAGAAACAATAAGTATATTGTTTGAAAACTCTATTTCTTCATTTAGTACAGAATAATATAATATTTCAACAGATTTATAAACCATCTTTAACGATCATATTGTAGTTTTGCTAATATTTTCAAGTTTTTTTTGTTCATTATTCAAAAAAAATACTTTAGCTTGTTGAAAATAACCATTCTTTGATTTATAAATTACAAGTAATAATAAAAAAGAATCGTGTACATCGAAAATAAATACTGTGCTTCCATTATTTACCAATATCTATGTCGAATTGCAATGTAATACAATAAAAAATAAAATTATATTGACTTCATTTTCTCATTATATTCAACTTTAATAAAAACTTTTCTTATTTGAAAATATATACCACATGGAATCTAATATTATAAAAAGATAGGTAAGTATTTATCTGAGCTGAATGAAAGATGTCGCTAGATATTGATAGATTATAGTTTAAACTAGCAAACAAAGTAATGGAGTAAACCGTTCAATCTAATGATCTTCTTCTTCTTCTTCAACCGTCTTCGATCCGAAGATTGGTCGCATTGTGAACGATCCTCCTCCATTGTTTCCTGTTCTCTACCGACCTTAACGTTTCTGCCACCGATAGTCCTGTCCATGCTTTGATGTTGTCCATCCATGCCATTCTTGGTCTACCACGTGCTCGCCTTCCGGGCACTGTGCCTTGTGTTATGTCTTTTTCAAGAGTGTTTTCTTTGTTTCTCATCACGTGTCCGTAGTATTTAAGTTTCCTTGATTTAATTGATTCCAATAAACTTCTATTGACATTAATGGTTTTTAGTACCCATTCGTTTGTTTTTCTTGCCGTCCATGGTACACGTAAGATATGTCTATATCCTTTCATTTCGAATGCTTTTATGCGATCTTCGTCTTCTTTTCTGATGGTCCAACTTTCACATCCGTACGTGGCTATTGGCCATATAAGTGATTTCAACAAACGAATTTTCGTGTTCACCGGTATATTATGACTTTTCCAGAGCTTGTTTAAAGACGTACTGATTCCTTGTGCTGTACGAAGTCTGTTTCTTATGTCTTCTTTGCTTGTGGCGTTTTCTGTAATGACTGAACCTAAATAAGAAAAAGTGTTGACTTGTTCTAGCTGTAAGTTTTGTATTTTAATGCAACAGGTCGTTCCATCTGTCGTCATAACTTTGGTCTTGTCGATGTTGATGTGTAAGTCATATTTGTTTCTGCACACTGTGTCTAACTTGGTTACTAGTTCTTGAAGTTTGTTCATGGATTGTGTTGTAAGAACAATGTCATCTGCATAACGAAGATTTGTTATTTCTTGACCACCGATTTGGATACCACCTGTAAAGTCTTCCAATGTTTCTCGCATAGCCATTTCAGCTATGATGTTGAATAAGTAAGGTGATATTACACATCCCTGTCGTACTCCTTTCTTGATATGAAAACTTTCTGAAACGGTACCTGCCACTTTCACCTTCGCATTTTGTTTTTGATACAACTCCGCGAGTAAATTAATCAGATGTGGTGGGTAGCCCATTTTCATCATTGTTGTCCAGAGCTTATTGTGAGATATTGAATCAAATGCTTTTTTAAAATCGATAAAACACATGAAAACTGTTTGTTGATGTTCGTGTGCCTTTTCTAGTAATAATCTTAGGTTAACTACTTGATCTCGAGTTCCTCGTCCACGTCGAAATCCCGCTTGTTCGATTGCAATTTCTTCTTCGGTTTTCATTCGGATTCTTTCCAGAATGATCCTGAGGATAATTTTACTCGCGTGTGAAACAAGTGCAATTGTCCTATAATTGGAACATTGTTTGGAATCTCCTTTTTTGGGCAGTGGAATAAATAAAGAGTCCGTCCAGTCTTCTGGCCATTTTCCAGTCTTCCATATTGTTACACAAATTCGATGCATTAGTTTAATCGTCGATTCTCCACCATTCTTGATTAGTTCGACAGGTACATCGTCAGGGCCTGGTGTTTTTTGGCTTGCTGTGTCCTTTATTGCACGTTCCACCTCTGATATTAGAGGAGGTGGCTCTTGTTCGTCGATTTGAAAATTCCAATTAATTGTGTTGTCTTTTTCTTCATATAGTTCTTGACAATATTCTTTCCAACGTTCTGCAATTTTTTCAGTCTCGGTGATGTTCTCGCCAGTTTTTGATTTTATACAGTTAAGTCTTGGACGGAATTTTCTTGTAATTTTTTTTGCTATTTGAAAGAGTTTCTTTGTATTGCCTTTTTTGTTTTCCATTTCTAATTCATTGCATAACTCGTTCAATTGATTTTGCTTGTCCTGGCGTAGTTTCTTTTGTACTTCTGCTTTCAATTTTTTGTATTTTGTTTGATCTTTCTGTTTCATTTCTCGTTGTTCTTTAATCATTTCCATCGTTTGTGCTGATATCCATGATTTGTGCTTTTCTTGTTTCTTGTAGCCGACAATGTCTCTGGCTGTTTCCACCAAAACTGTTTTCACTGTCTTCCATAATAAATCTGGTGTTGTGTCTTCTTCAATTTCACCTAGTGTTGTAAATCTGTTTGTTACTGTAATGGCAAACGCTGTTGCTTTTTCTTCTTTTAGTTTTTCCACGTTAAGTTTCGGCGTCTCGTTTTTTTTGCGTATCTTGCGTAGTCTGATCCTTGTTGTTGCGACTAGCAAATGATGATCTGTATCACAATCAGCACCTGGATAAGTTGTGCAGTCCATTACGCTGGTTTTCCATTTTTGATTGATTGTGATGTAGTCAATTTGGTTTCTGCTTTTGCCATCAGGTGATTTCCATGTGTATAATCGTCTTGGATGTTTTTTGAACCATGTGTTGACCAGTATCAATTCATGTTCTTCGCAGAATTCCCTAAAACGATCTCCTGCATCATTTGCCTCACCTAGTCCAAATGGACCTACGGCTGGGCCGATTACGTTTTGTTTCCCTACCTTTGCATTGAAGTCTCCCATCATCATCATGATGTCATTTTTGGGGATCTTCTTGCTTGCGCATTCCAATTCTTCGTAAAACGCTGCTGTGACTTCTTCTTCAGCTGTTGTTGTTGGTGCGTATACTTGAACTAATGTGATGTTCTTTGGTCTTGCATTCAGTCTTACAACCATCATACGTTCGTTGACTGGTTCATAGCTTATAATTGCTTTAGCTATTTTCCTATGTATCCATATTGCTACGCCATGCAGTCCACGTTTTTCATTTCCTGAATAGATGACAGTATGGCCTTTCGTTGTAGTGAAGTGTCCTTGTCCTTCCCATCTGATCTCCGCTAGTCCGCATATGTCTACCCGTAGTCGTTCCATTTCCTGTTCTAGTATATACATTTTTCCTAGTTGTAGCATGCTTCGGACATTCCAAGTGCCAATTCTTAACTTCTGTCGTAGCTGGATTGATGTCGATGGAATTGTTGTAATCTTGTTGTTGTTGTTGTTTGTTTGCTTGTTGTCGTTGTTTCCTCTTCTTCTTCCAGTCACCCATTTTTCGACCCTGTCCTGGTTGCCCGACAGGGGACGCGGACCTTGTTGACCCGGGCGACGTCCGAGCCGGTATGATAACTGTTCCTTGTTCACCATGCTGTTTGGGAGTGTTAAGATGGTAGCTTCCCTGTGACTTTCCATCTCGCAGTACAGAGGGTGTTCATCATTTGATGATTACTGACCTCTGTTGTTTGCCAATCAGCCGTTGTACGATGATCATCCGTTGATTGGCGTTGTAAAGGCTTGCTGCTGCCCAAGCTTTAACCGCCTGCGTTGGCCATCTGTTTTTCGGGGTTCCCGTTCAACCTGTCCACCTTGCGTAGCGCTCTTGGTGATTCTTCGGTAGAACCTTCATCACTGATGGTATAGCCTGGACGGGCAGTCCCTTACTTCAGATGTTCACTCCTTCACCACGTTGAGGTGCAGGACGGATTTTGAAGGAGAATCTAATGATAATGTTGTTTATATTAGATTATATCAAAACAAAATGCAACTTTTCTTCGATTGAATTGCTTGTTACAAAGGAATTGATACTTGAAATTAAGAATTATAAATTAACGATTGATTTATATAATCCGATTTTGCTTGTTGTAATAGTTACAGAATAATATTATGAAAAAATATTTCTTTACAAATTAGGGATGTATCAATTTCTAACCTAGTTTCAAAGTTGACATATTTTAAGTATTGAGGACCCATCGTCCTGCCATTTGTACACAGCAGTTCTACTTAATTTTGATTACTATATCTTAAGTCATTATTACATGCTATCAAATCTCAAAAAAAGAAAAAGAGTTTCAAGACAAAATCGAATCCAGTTTTGTTCATGTTCCAAGAAATCGAACAATAGCTTCGGAGAGAACATTCAAAGTTGATCATGATTGCTTTGAGTAATTGACATCAATCTATAGTTTGTCAATATTGGCGTTATTTTTGAGTTCGAATTCCAAGAATCGATACATTCATATCTGAAAACAATATATGATCAAAGTCAAATATTTCATTCAATACTATTGCTTGTTTCGTTGATAATTTAAAAAAGTCGACAATATCGATTAGATTTTGTCTTATTTCAAGAAATTCAAATTTCTGTACATCTTTATTTAATGAATGACAAAACTAATGAATACTACCCAGCAAGATTCCAGATAAAATGCCAAGGATGTATAATTGAACGAACGGATCGAGCTCGTATTCTAGGGATTGGTTGGATCAGAAACATCATTTCAATATGAAAAGCATATTAAAATAAAATACAAAACTTTGAAAATTGGTTGCGTTAGGAAGGATGTGAGTGAATTTGAAAGTAGCAATCAGCAGGAGTAAGTTTTTTTTACTCTCAATCCTAGATCCGATCAGAAAAATTCCTGGAGCTAGTTTTGCGTTTTGTAATACATATACTAGAGGAAAATGCGATATCATTTTCTATAAGTGTCAATAAGTTCGAGACATCTTCCACGGCTCGCATCATCTCTAACATTCTTCCTCTGCGAGATTCATTACTTTTCTTAATTCACTAGTACTTCATACATTCTGTACGTTTATATCTTCGACAACTGTTGTCCACGAGAAAAAAGAATCAATTTTACTATCAAAGTTGTAACAGCAAATGTTAAAGTGATCGTTACTCAATAATTTTTACAATCAATAAGTTGTGAGAATATGACATTTGATACAAGTTGTATGTAACCATGAAAAATATCACTTCCAATCTAAAAACGTTGGTCCTAATATCGGTCAAAGAATTGGAATCATGTTGCTCATAGCTAGTTGAGAAAGTGAAATTGGAATGTATGTGAGTGAAGACAAGAGCCTCCCTCACATTCTTATATTAATTTTATGTGTTGTTGTACCATGTTCATTGTTGTGAGCTAGCTAGTGTTTTATTATAAATATATTTTAGAAGTCAAAGAAATATTAAAATAAATAACTCATAGTCTTAATCATTGATGCTAATATTTAAGTTACTCTCAAGGCAACATTTGAGAATAATTAATAATAATAAGATAAATTTTTCAATTTCGAAAATTTCATTTTTATAAAAATTGATTTTCTATATTTATTTCTCAAAGTATTGAATTAAATTTCTATGAAATTTTTCTCATGTAGTTATTTCATTTGAATTTTCTGGAAATAAGAACTTAATATGATATGTCTCAATATTAAAAAATATCATCTTTGAGACTACACAATCCGGTAAAGAGATTTATTCGTATTTCTTTTCATTATTACTTCTAGTCGATTATATTTCTCTTTGTTTTACCTACATGTATATATTTATCAACAAATCTAATACAGTTTGATCACAAAAAGAGCAATGCCATCTAAATATTAAAATACTATGATTATTTATAAATATTTGACATATACCATTCTATTATATAACCGATGAATTATGTGTACTCGTATCGTATAATTCTTAATCAATTTATGTTCTATTGAATATCCATTAATGGGTTGAATTCATTTGTAAGTATTTCTTTTTAGAATATATAATTGACTGACAACGAACAGTTTTTTCAACAAAATTTCATAGACAAGCTTTCTCATATTTTGTTGCATTCATCTACGTAAAAAAGAAAACAATGACGCCTTCTAAAATGATTTCTACAACATTCAATCATTTAAAATAATAATTACGAAAGTCACTTTTCTTTTTCTTTTTTTATATAATGATCGAATTCAATCATTAACATAGACGGTGAGATGATACGTAAAAGAAATTTCGAGAGCCATCAAAAACATCAATGAATGTAAGAATTTACATTAATATCCATCCATTCAATATTCTTCACTTCAACAAGCTTTTAGAAATTTTCAATGAAAAGAAATTTTCGATAATTACATTACAGAAGGACGACAAACACAACTACATATAATTACCGAAGTACCATTACAAAGTCTACATTTATTTTTCAACTGAACGATTATTCTAACATATTTTTGAACGAAAAAATTCTATAGTCACTCTTATCAGCAAGATCTTATCTAATATTAAATTGTATTCTTTTTCGTCCTATTACAATGAGTTAATGAAATATCTTAACACAATCATGTAACTCAGGTCAGTTGTCAACAAATTTTGAAAAAAAACATGACACTTTTCTCTACATGGAAGCAAAATTTTTGTTCATATTCTGTCACACTAGGTTACCTCGTCTCGTAACATTCATTCATCGACACTTCAATGATTTAATACTGAACGAATCATTTTTCACACAAAAGAAAACCAACTGAGAAGAGAATAGATAATCGAT